TGAAAGGTTCTATGAGAAATTCGTGATATTATCGGCTCTCAGGAAATCACCCCATGGCTATAATTGGTGGTGTAAATGTTTGAGTGCTTAAAATAATCGTATTCAAGAAACTAAGGCATTAAACTATGGAGTCAGTTTCTTTTTAATAATATAACGGGATTTACTCCCGGTGATTTAGCTATTATAGCCCCAGAATACTTTTAAAGCGCCTTTACTTTCCAGAATCTTGACGAATTTTTTTTAGCTTAAACGAATTAAGAGACACTGTAGTTAAAAAATATAAAGAATTTTCGATTTTGACACAAAAAAAAAATTTTCGTTCAGGCACACCGTGTATTGTATGTAGTACTGCTGCTATTCAAACCTTATCTTCAGGTCAAAATTCGGCGACACTTCGGCACATAAGGCGAACTTTTTGTAATTTCCCCCAATTTTTTCTCCGTTAAATAATTGAATTACTTGTCAAATTCTGAGGTCAATTATATTTAATTGTAATTTATACATTTCTTTTTTGTCTGGAGAAGTTTCGTTGATTTCTTCGGATTTCGAATACTGTAACTTCTCTTCTATTCGGCCGATTTTTATGAATGAGACCTCTTTTAATTCGTCTTTTAACGGAGAGTAAGGAAAAAATCGCTAAGTACACGCGAAACAATTTTTTTTGAAAATTGGACGAATCCTAGCGTGACGGTGAAATGGTTAATCAAGCGTAAAATCAAGGGTGAGGGTCCGGGTCGGGTCGCTCGGGAGGACAAAAGACACTGCCTGGCCGTCGGGACAGAGGTCCGGTGTGCGGGGAGGAGAAGGGTAAGTGGTTTTCTGTAAAAGCAAACTGATTTCTGTATGTGTTATGGTTAGCACATGGTCTAATGAGTTTTGAGGCTCATCACAGATTGCACTTACGTCTATCCTGGGTGGCCTTCGCTATCAGAGGAGAGGTACCAACTTTTGAAAAGCCAAACAGTGGTGTGGAGATCTGTCAAAGCAACGTTATGAACGAAACGGAGGAGTAAAATTCTCATTCCTAGAGTGCCGGCCTGGTCAGCCATCCTCGAATCAGTTCGCTTGTTTCTGCTTATATATGCATATTTTAAATCAGCGCGTCGTACTCTTAGGCTTTTTTTAAAAATACCAAGTAACGTAGACTCTTGGTATTCACTGCACATAAACTAGGGAGCCCCAGAATGAGAAACAACTTTAAATCATAATTATTGACGGATAAATAAACTTTTTACACGCTTTGTAAAATCTCAGAAGTTCGCGGTAGTCACTTTTCGGTAAGGAACTAAGGGACTCGGTTATTGTATCGAGTGGGGGGTCGAAACGATCGCAAAGGCGGTATACTACGTATACGCGCCAAAAATTAGCGAAATTTAGAGAAACGATAGCACAATAAAGTCAAGAAAAGACCTCCCATTGGATACAAAAATCGAATGCGAAGTTTTTTCCTAACACAATTATACTTTCATTCCTCTAGATATTGCCAATTTTTGCGGGTATAGAATGATTCCTTAGACTTAGGCGCAGGGGATATCGCCCTTTTTTTCGCTAAAAATTCAAAATCTGCCGAGATTTTTTAACTTATCGATGCGATGTATTGCATGCCAGTTCGACCACGTCACTTGAGCGTCACTCTAGCTTGACGAATCATCTTAAAAAGCGAATTTTATTTGAAGTTCCAAACCTCTTTGGGAAGTTCTATCTCGGACGGTCAACACCAACAACATCAATCACCAACACCAGTGGACACCGCGTTGTTACCACATTCGACCAATCAGATCCGTTGGTCTTCGATAGGTTGAGGTGGTACCAAAATCTTGCACTAACGTTGCAATTCGATAGTCATCGAATCGGAAGTTCCGAACTCAAATAAAATGGCAGCTCAGAGGTTCGGACGCAAAAGCATTACCGAACTTCTAAATTATGTATTTGGCAATAGGTGATAAGGCATGGTTCCTTCCTGCTAAACACGGTCAGATTGGACTATCTCTATCAAATGGAACTATGTGCATGAATATATGAGCTCTGAGACCCATAAGGATACATGGGTGGTTTCACGATAGCTGGAATATTTTTGTCGCCGTAACAGACAACACAGTTTTTGGTCATATTTTTAGTAGTAATGATAACCACTCGAATTTTTTTGCATTAATCTGCGCAGGGTTACGTGTCATAACGAATTTCAAAGATTTATCGCTCTAATTTTCAATTTTTTCAATTACTTTCATGGCCGAAAATGTGCTGTCTGTTACGCTTACTTTTAAAAACACATTGGATCAGGAGTCCAGACTCTTAAAAACATCGATAAGAAAAAGTACTCTTGATTCAATCAGAATCTAGCTTGAATCAAGAACCAAGCCTCTCAATTTAAGCGGATTTCGTTTTGATTCAAGCAAAAATCCAATTGAATCAAGAGTATTTTTTCTTGTCAATGTTTTCAAGAGTCTGGACTCAAGATCCAATGTGTTTCTTTTTCCAGTGCTTTGAAGATTAATGCGAAAAAATTCGAGTGATCATCATTTCTACTAAAAATATGACCGAAAAATGTGTTGTCTGTTACGGCGACGAAACTACTCCAGTAATCGTGAAACTGGCCACATGCATGACAGGGCTCATGTCATAATGCACACAGTTCCGTTCGACAGAAATGCGTCCAATTGAAACTCTCTATCTATCGGTTTTTTCCGAAAAGTTGGGTCCTCCCTGCTAAACTCTATCGATTTTGTCGTGGGATGAAATGCCCAGGTCATCCCGTTCGCATCATTGACTAAAAACCGAAGCAAAATAGTGGTGACAAATCAAAATCACCCCCGCGGGAGAGTGCTGAGTAAGAGTAACTCCGGCGGCCCATTAGTCTCGCATCTCTCTCACACCCCGCTCGCAGTGCCGAGGCGTGAACGGTCGATTATCGATATCCTCCCATTTGAAACTATGTTAAAGAATAGATTATTATGGTGCTCGTTGCAAACACCATGTTTATCGATCCTTTTCCATAGGTATAAATGGCATCGATATCGCAAAGCACGGCCCGCTCTACCTTGTCGTGGAAGAAGGCAGTGCCTCCACCCGACGACGACGGTTAGTACGTTCTCTCATACGGTTGGAGGCTTAGCTTAGAATAGATTTACTACCCTCTTCCGTAATAGGGTAGTGCCACAGCCATGGGTATAAAATCACCGGGATGAAAACGAATGTGGTTGAGGGGTGGACTGGTGGCTGTTGAATTGGGCAGAATTGGACAAGAACGTATGAAGTCCCAGTGAGGAAAAAAATTAATCAGGAGTTCTGCTGTGTTAAGAAAAAACGTCGTATGAGCCTTTTACGTTGTCGAAATGGAGCTCTTGCGTGTGCCAAAAATTTGCGCTTTAAGTACAGATTCCTGTGTATTTTTTAGTGTAAGTCAGTGTATTTCGTCGTCCGCTCATTCGTGATTATTCACAGATAATAATTCAAGGAAAGATTTTGGTTTATTTTCTCTCCAAAAAAAAATTTAGGAGATTTCGGAACGTTACAATATGTGTTTTCTTATTTGAGCCTTCGATATGGAGTTGCACTCAACAAATGGACGTACACGGAAAAAAAAGAATTGCTGATTCAGCAATTCAATTGCTAAAAACAGTGGGTGCAATGTTTCAACGCAGATTTTACAAGAAAAAAATGCTACTTTAACCGAATTAATTCAACCAGGGTGGTTAAAGTAGCATTTTTTTGTTGTAAAATCTGCGTTGAAACATTGCACTCACTGTTTTTAGCAATTGAATTGCTTAATCAGCAATTCTTTTTTTTCCGTGTACTTCTGTCAAACGGAACTATGTGCATTGTGCATTAAGGCATGAACTCCGAGACCCATAAGAGTATGTGCATAACAGGGCTCACGTCATTATGCACATAGTTTCTTTTGATCCAAATGAACACGAATGTTTGCTGGTTTGCTTTCCTTTCTACACTCATACGCGCAAAAAGCAAGATTCCGAGCACCCATTGACCAAGCTAAATATTTTTAACGAAGGTTAGAGCCTATGAGTTTTCGGACTTCCGTCCTTTTTAAATGAGAGAGCGAGGAAAATAGACACAGACAGTTCAACTTTGGGGATGTGTGAGGAGAAAAAAATATGTGCTAACATTTAATAAACATTTGCTAATGTTGATACAACTTCAAACTGTTGGCAAGCGTCGCAAAATACGTAACTCCACTGCGATATTTCAAAATCTTCAGTAATTTTTCTAAAAATATTTCCTCGAAATTTTCTTTCGCATTACATTTTTTTATCTCAACGCCCATCAAAAGTAAATGGGATTGTAATTACAGCTGTAACTATATGAAAGCAAGCAGTAGAACAAAATTCTTTTTGGCAAGCGCCAAATAGCAACTATTCCAGCACTTAGGACATGCGGGAGGCAAGCTAGGAAATTGAAGGGGGGTTTTAATCGGTCTCACCGTGCGTCACGCTGCGTCGCCGTATTGGCCTTTCAGTCTCCTTTCTCATGTCGTCACAATCCGGCCAAAGTATCACAAGCGCCATGCGACGTTTCAAAAGTTTCCGCGGCCTTCTATTTTTTTACAGAAATTAAAATTGTTGGTTGAATCTGTTCGTAAAATTCACTGAATTTTATCGGCAACACAAAGAAAATTCAGTGAAATTTCCGGACAGCTCCGTTAAACAATTTTTCTGTAAAAAATTGAAATGGCGGCGGAAATTTTGAGACGTCACATGGCGTTTATGATACTTTGCTGGAAAGGTGACGGTATTCAACTTGAATCACAATGAGGACAAATGAAAATGAAGACGTCGTTTAAAACGTAATGACTAAAAATAAAAGGAGAATAAAAAGAACAACTTGAACGACGACAATGACGAAGGTGACGATATTCAACTTGAATCACAATGAGAAAAAATTAAACTGAAGACGTCGTTTAAAATGTAATGACTAAAAGTAAAAGAAGAATAAAAAGATGAAATGATCACAGAAATTGATAAAAAATATATTGTATTACTTACCACCCCAACAGGAGTGCCCATAGTTCAAGCAGGACCCTGCAAAACAGAAGAAAGACATTCATTAGAAACTGAGAACTTATATAATCTCCAGAATTTCACCGGTGCGTAGAAAAACTTCATAACTTCTGAGATTTACATCAAATCCTCAAACAATCTGAAAAGGGTTACTGAATCATGAACGAATTTTGATCGAAAATTTATTTTTCTGAGGGTAAGGTTATAGGACATTTCGTCAAGATTTTTTGTCAGCGCACCTGTTTTTCCAGTAGTTTACATCTACGCGTTTTTCCGGCAGGGGAGTTTTGGTCCACGCACCAATTACTGAGAATCAAAACAAAATATTCTTGACGGAATGCATGCTCAGGAATTTTTCTGCCTAAATCAAGTCACTTTTTTCTCTGATGAAATTTGAAAGTTATGCTAAACTTTCTTAAATACGGATGCTAGGACTTGGTGAGTCTTAGGACTTCCGCACACTTTTTGTGCCGTAGCATCTTGATTTATTTTGCGAAGAAAGCTCCGTATTCTTAAAGGATGGCCATCATTCTTAAAATGTTGGGGCGCCTTCAACTTCAAATGATACTGCGCAACACCTCTGTGGTGTAATAGTTGCTTGAGGTGCCGCGCCGCGGCACGGCCAGCGGGCGGCCAGCGCGGAACGTGCATTGGCGCCTACAAACCTGAGTGGATACTTCAAGCATTGCGCAATGCGTCAAGTATCCACTTAGGTTTGTAGGCGCCAGTGCGCGTTCCGCGCTGGCTGCTCTGTTTGGCTCTAATATTTAAACTCGCAGAGTCAGCGTTTTTCAACTCATGATGTTAAAATGGTTGCACACTCTGCATGGACTATCCTCATTTAAATTGATGAAAAAAGATATGCATGAAAGGAAAATATATTGTGTATTTTTTAAATATTAATGTGGCTCCGTGTAAAATTTAATGATTCTCAAAACCCTTTGATTTCTTCTTTTATATTTTGTGCTTTTACTGTGCTGCAGCGCGGTGTAGGCGCAACGAAACGCTCAAAATTGGACTATTTGATTCTAAAAGATCGATGTCCAGGATTTTGGCTCCAAAAATACACAATTCATCATCATATAATCTGCTCACCTGGTACTTTCAGAATTTTAAGTTAAAGACACAAGGTTTAGGGACCCAATACAGTTAATACTCAAAACTAAAGAACAATTAAAAGGGCGGCAGGAATTTTTTTTGCATGCAGTCACTAGGGCTTGAATGAGCGAAATTGATCTGGATTTCAAGGGAGTTACCTGGAAGTGTAGAGTAGGAAAACCCTCGCCCACTTCAATAGTTGTTTCTCTACTTTCCCAAAAAAAAGAGGCTGAAGTTTTTCTCAACACGCGTATACTTTATTATCGTCCAGGGTGGCAAGCGGAAAACCTTTCCTCCCACTGAAAGTCGAATTGTTTACTTCTCTTCCGTTTGGGACCAATTTTTGCTCCAGAGTTTTTCCCAGTTATTTAGGGTTAATTTACTCTGTTTGGTCCAGGAAAACCACCTGGGGAAACTTCTGAATTTGACCCCAAAATTAACAATTATCTTATATTTTGAAATGTGCGCTTATTTATGATGCTTTCTCCCGAACTTTAGAGGCATGTAGGTATTCCTAGAAAAGGAAGGATTAAAAATAAAGAGCTTGAAGGACAAGACACATAAGTGCAGTAGTTAGTTTGATTTTGTTTTCAGGGCATGTCATTTAATTTTTAAAAGGAGCCTCCTACCCAAAAATATGCAACTTTTTGGTTCTTTAATGGTACAATATGGTGGCTCTTGAAAGTTAGAGTTGGGCATTTTTCGAAAGAAGCTAAATTGAAACCTATTTTTTACATTTCAAAGGGGGGAAATGTGAAAAAAAGGTGATCGTAGCTCACTAAAAGCGGAATTTTTATTTTTTCTGATTTTGATAACTTTCGAGGGAGATCAAGAGTCGTCCTCTTAGGACAGATTTTAGAGGAGGAAAGGTAGGAAGTAGGAGGAGAGATTAGGAAGGAGGAGAAGGTGTAGGAAAGAGGAGGAGGGGTAGGAAGGAGGCGGAGGGTAGGGAGGAGGAGGATTGGTATACAATGAATTGGTAATTGGAAAATTGGTATACAAGTGGGTCTAGCTATACACATCACTTGAATTGAGTGAAGCCATAAGAAATTTGCTTTGAGAGAATGTTCTAATTAAAATAATCTGCACGTCGTTTGGTAGACGCTGAAAGAGGTGCACTGATTTCTGACAAAACGTAGTCCTCAGTTCTATCATATCAATACTATTTAGTTCCAGGAAGGAAATCATATAACTCTTACAAATAAAATCACTTCATAGGTTTTTGTCGTAACATAGGTAGCTTCAAATCGTTGGTGAGACTATAGAGTTTAACTTTTTAGGATCCTAAGCTAGTTCCGTTTAATTAGAATACAAATGGTGAGAAAAATTAGGATAGAAAGTATGCCATGCACACTTAGCATATTGAAGACTTCCATAGTGTGAAAAAACTCTTTTTACGGTGAATTTTCAGCTGTAATTCCGAAAAAAATCATCACACGTAAAAAATTGCCTTCAAATAAATGGTTATACCACTAATCAACGGCTGAGTTAAAATAATCGTATCCGTTGAGCTGCAATGTTCCATTGTTGCACTCAGTATTTTCTATATACCTATTTGACGATGTGTATCACTGTTATTGCGCTGCTGACTTTGAGGGGTGCTTTGACGTTTACTTAAGACATTATTTAAGACAGTCTTTGAAGTTTGTTTGCGATATATCGACGGTGAAAGTCGGCAATCACATAACTCGGTTTGCAACGTCGCAGACTTCCTGTCATACTTTATTTTTTAAATGGAAAACTACTCAACGGCAATTCTTTTAAACTGTCATGATTTTTCTTCTCAATGCAAAGAAAATTCTGCAAAAACTTCAAGAAATAATATCAATTTGTTCTCCTTTAAAAAAATGACGTAGAGGCGGAGATTTTCAGACACCGCAAACGAGTTATGTGATTGCCGACTTTCACCGTCGATATATGGTTCATCTCGCTCTATTTACAAGATTATTTGGTTGGGTTGCTGATCCCCTGTTACAGGTACCCACTCTATTGTATTATCCATTTACCTGAAGTGACGTTGACTCTAAGTAGTCTAACTTTTCCTAACGAGGCACAGGAGCATTTAAGACACTCCCACGATTAGTTTTCCGAAGTGTGAAATTCAAATCTGGGAACCATCGATATTTTCGCCTTGTGCATGTGTGCTGATGAGAGACGCGTTGAGAAATTCATTTAGCGAACGGGACGTTTAACTTGCTTTTCCGCGATTAAAATGGAAACTCTAATGGATCGAGTCCCACCTACACCTACAGCCAACAGACGCAACATTGTCTCAACGTTGACTACGAAAAGGTGATAACTTGCGTTACTTACTCATTATTGTTGATTGTTTACACCTCTTAGAATTTCGATAAGCCGTCAGAATTCACACAATTTTTTTAAGCCTAAGTTGGTTTTTTTTTTGTGCGGAGACCAAGATTTTACACGCAATTTTTTGTTAATTTGGTTCCCTGAATGTATCAATTTAAAACTAACTGGGGAGTACACTCCCTGCCTCTCCGCGGTCCAACCCTTCATTGCGCTTCGCGCCTCAGGCATTTTAAATGCATTTCACCTCACTCTTGATTATACATTAGAGTAAAGCGTGATCGATGAAATCTCGATGTTGAAATACGGAGCTCCTCGGGCCGAAAAGACAGCCAACTCTCAAACACGAAAAACACTGGAAAAATTCCGTTGTCAATTTTCAGATTTCAATATCAAACCAAAATGGCCACAAATGCAATAAGTAAAAGTATAAATAAATAAGTAGTATAAATAAGAGTCTTCCGCAAAAATGAGTAAATTAATGCGAAAACTAAGTCAACGACGGGGTGAAAAACACCAAAATCAATAATGTAACAAGAAACGAAAAATCATAAAAAGTGTTATTCGTTCTATAATAAATCAAACACTATTTTGATACCTTAAATCCTCCACATCTTACATTTAATGCACTTTCTGTCACATTAGAATACAAATTAAACACAATTTTTTAAAACTATGATTAAGAGCTGGCTTCTTAATTTTTCACTCTAATTTTGGTAGTGTGTACAAACGACGGGCCGTCATAATTTCAATAACAAATTATTCTATATAGTATAATTTCTTAAGTTGGCTGCCCTTTTTGGCCCTGAAAGGTCCATGACCTAACCTCAAAATTACCGACACGTCCGTGCTCTATCCGGCCTTACCTTCCCTCCTCGAGTCAACCCGTACGAGCTGTCTAGATTGTAATACAGTCTAAATCACATCACTCTGTTAGGAAGTGCGGGGCTTCGAAATATTTTCCACCGAGTGTAGGTGTTGTAAAATAAATATCACCCCGCAATACAATAAAAACCCGCCAAATAATAGATTCGGCGGGTATTTCCAGATATTGGCGCGAGGTGCGCGAAGACGCCGCCGTGAATATCGTCACATCTTCGGCGCACAGTGGAACGAGTCAATAGGAAAGGTTGGACAATATTCTGGAACTTTAAAAGCTCATAACTCCGTTTATACAAATTTTTGAGGTTTAAAAAGTGGTTCCATTGGTTTTCTCTTAAAATTTTCTTCAGAAAGCACACCTTGAACTTTAAAATGTGACAATGTAAACATCAAAATTTGCAGTTTTAGTAAAAAATGTCACGTCCGACCTCTCCGATTGACTCGATCCACTGTGCGGCGTAAGGGCGTACCTCGATTTCCGCATGAGCCTCAGATAGCATGGATTCAAACGCAAACCAGGGCTCACGTTAGAATAGAGACACGATCTTACGTCAGAGGGGAGCGACGATATGTAAATCGGAACGCGAAAAAACTTGAGCCACCTCCTCGCACTTTTGGGCCTAGTTCGCGGGGGT